ATCAAGAAGAGGAGAGAAGGAGGGCGTAACGGAGAGAGAGGGAAATGGAAAGGGAGGGGGAGGCGGAGGCGGAAAGAGAGAAAAAGAAAGACAGAGAGAGAAACGCATACACATATACACATACACAAATACACACTCACACACATACACAACGCCAAAGTAGCAAAACTAAAAGTTAAGTTAAGACTTTTCTGAGGGGAAAAAAAAGACAAAAACGGAAGAGAAAGAGAGAAAGGCAGACTTGTTTTTTTTACTAAAGGCTGACAAACATAAGTGCAACCGATATAAAATTTTTACAGTTATATTATAAAGCGGAGCAATGGACCAATGAATAAATTATCAGCACGCGCTTTTCGTTTATATTTATCCTTTCCTATAGCTGCACATGTTGCGTTGAATAATTCCTACATTTTCTGTGCCCTCTCTTCAGCGCCATCTAGACCTTTCGGATTATCTTGGCAAATATTCGGCTAGGGCAATGGGTCGAAAATTATGCACTCAAAAGAGGTGGCTAACTTCGGCCACAATAAGTACTATTTTTGCAGGATTAATATGGTTAGTTTGTTCAACTACTGACTATTGGATAAGCGTTACTTACGACAAAGCTGAATGGGATAATAAAACTGGAAGTTTTATGCTTTCTCATCGGAGTGGATTATGGAGAATTTGCAGAACGCGTAGATATAAGAATGCTGAAAATTACGGTAAGTAGGGCAAGCGGCCTAGTAGGAAAAAAGGTTACGTCAAAGAAAGGAAGAGATTAAGGAGGTGGGGGGGGGAGGGTAGGAGTAGATTGAAGAGGTGAGAGACAGATAGATTGAGAAAGGAAACATAAGAGAGAGAGAGAGAGAGAGAGTAGATTGAAGACAGAGCGACAGAGAGACACAGAGAGAGAGAGAGAGCGTCAAGAAAGAAAAGAGTAAATAGTAAGGATTCTACTTGGTTTATAATGTCTATTGAGAGGTGTTGAAAAATTGATAGCTCTTATATTGATTATGTTTTAAGTGAATTTATACTATACATGACATTATTGACTTAGGAGACAATCGTGATAATTCTAGTTCTAATATGATAAAGGCAGCGCTTATCCTGGCTAACAATAGGAGCGAAAAACTTTATACACTTATAATTATATCATTGGCTACATTTGCCTATAGAAAATGAATAATGTAAGCTGCACACGAGCTTGTACAGTGTATCTATATACATAAGTGATTGAGAGGGATAGAAATGAGAAAAAAAGGAAGAAAAAGGAAAAAGCGAACGAACTAACAAACAAACAAGTAATTTTGGTCAATGAAGGTAAGCGATAGTAAATATATAGAAGACAAGCCGATAGATTGATAAATCGACTTTGAAAGAAAGAACATTGATAGATCAAAGCGGAATAGCAAGAGAGAGAAAGAGAGAGAGAGAGAGAGAGAGAGAGAGAGAGAGAGAGAGAAAGAAAGAGAGAGAAGAGAGAGCATAGAGAATAGAATATGTGGCGTATGTATACTGTGTACAGATAATATATGATGTGTGGTGTATACTGTATGAATTACTATATTAGTATATTAGTATATTAGTATAATAGTATATCAACTTAATGCGCTTATTTCTTATTTATCCAAAAGAGAAAGGTAAAAAAAATAACTAGAAATAATTTAAATTATTAACAAGTTTACAGAGTCGAATGTAGTCAGTCTTGTCCGACACAATTACGGAATTATTACGCATCAACTTCTTTCTCTTTACTTTTACTCCTTTAATGCAATTTCCTCCCATATTAGCCAATTATGTCCCATTGGTAAGAAGGTATGAATTGGCCGATCATAGGACGAATGCGATTGGAAAATGGTGTCGGAAATATACGAAACATCTAATACGAAATTGGCTTTAATAGGGGTTTAGAAGGCTTGAAATGGATAGAAACCGATTTCCCATTTTATTTATTTATTTATTACAGTAGTCGTTCTAGTTCCACGGATCTCCTAATCACCAAATCGCCACAGTGTTATATATCGAATTTGCAGATATTATCTCTAAAAGAATTTCACCGAAAGAGTCAGAGGTGCAAATGAATCTAATCCATTTTAGAAATATAGTAGGATGTGTTGAAATTTTAGCCTAATGAACCAGGGTAATATTCTCGAAATATTAATTTTCACTATGTTTCTCTTCCCATCAATCGCTCGATAAACTTGCTTTCAATTCTTACCAGCGACCTTCAATTATTTTTTCTACATTATTACAGTATATAGTGTTAGGGAGGCAATTAAAGAAAGGCAGGTCTGGAAAGGAGGCGAAGAGGGGAATAGAGGGAATTACTGAAGGAAGAAATAAAAGAGCACCTGCAATAAAAACATATGCAACCTAATTCATAGCAGCAATCCCAGTATTTTCTAAATTGTTCTTTATAGGTGTTGTAAACATTCCCCCCTTAGATTCGAATAAGCAAATGACCTAATATTACGAGGTTTTATTTTTCCCTGTAAATACAACATACTTCAATCTCTCATTCCTTCTCCTTCTCTACTAGTTTCATGCACATATGCTCACACACAGAAACACACATACACACACATACTTTCTCTCTCTCTGTTCTCTCGCCCTCTCTCTCTCTCTCTCTCTCTCTCTCTCCACCAATAACCGATTATATTAACAAAAATGCAGGAAAATAGTCGGAAAACCCTATTATATGAGATGAGAGAAAGAAGGAAGAGATAGTAAAAATAAAGGAGACATTTTATTTACACGATTAGAAAGAAAAAATTTCTTCTCTCTTCCTTCTTATTTATCTTGTCTTTTTTCTTAACAAATTGGAAAGGATGTTAAGGATTTAGGCTTTGTGAGGACAAAAGTTCAATTGAATGTAACCCCGTAGATCTTTTCCCCTTTGCAGTTGCGGAAATGCACAAGGTTAGCGAGGGGAGGAAGGTTCCTTAAAAAATTTTCATGTTTAATCTTTAGCGATTTTACAGTAGAGCAGTAAAGTGAGCGTAGAGAAAATTATAGGCTTAATCGCTTCCCTTTTTTTCAGAGGAATCCTGCGACCCTATAAAGCTTTTCCCGAGTGCAGAGGAAATCGATCGAGATCCCGAAATTGACAAGCATATCGTCAGTAAGTATCGTTTGTCAAGACTGGAAGAGGATAAACTAACCTTAACTTTTCCCTTTCAAGATTATACTAGAACAGAAACGGCTTTTGCTGTTATGGCGATTCTTCTTATGGTAATAACTCAAATTTTTGCCATATACAGTATGAGAGAGAAGAGGTACATGTTTAAACGTTTGGCCGCCTTCTTACATCTGATGACAGGTATGTAAGAAAAGGCTGAAAATACGAATGATTAGTAAATTTCATGAATTTGTTTTATTAGTTAATTCACTTGTCGTATAATCTAATTAATTGGCTGATATGAACATTCTGACATGTTGAACAACAAGGAAAAACATTCAACTGTTGAACGTTAATATTATTATTACTTATCTTCTTCTTCTTCTCTTCTTTACCTTTCTTCTTTACTCTTGTAATCCATTCACATGTTCTTTTTGATATAGTAACTGACGTGCCTAAGTCTTAATTTGAATGATGAGTTATCATTTACTATCCTAATAGGTTGCAGACCTCTTTAAGTAGTTTACCGCCTTCTTTCGTTTTTCATTTACAAACTGTTAAAGCTTAGGTGTTTGCGTGTTAATCTCTCTCTCTTTTTTTTGGACTTGATTACTCAATAGGCTTATAAAGAGGATTAAAGTTTTAACACGGACTTTCCGAACAAGCAGGTGGGGCGGGTTGGTAATAAAGTCATCTCTACTGTACAATCTAAAAATCGGAACTGTTGGATATCTATTGCCTATATCATATATATTTAGAGAGAGAGAGAGAGAGAGAGAGAGAGATAGTGAGGGAAGAAGACTTTTAGTTTCTCTAAACGATTTTAAACACCTGTTGACCGTCTGTTATAAGCATCACTATGCGAAAACTAGTTAAAAATGAAAACAACGAGAAAAGAAATAGACTCGAAAAGAAGAAATTCAAGTAAGATTATGTCCAATTATCATATATTTTCTGGCTGAAAATGAATAGTAGAAAAAGAAGAAGAAGAAGAAGAAAAAGAAGAAGAAAAAGAAGAAGAAAAAGGCAGAGCCAGTGTCAGTAGTAGTTATTTATAGAGTTTGAGAGACGAAATACTAACTATCTATAAATTATTATTAACATTTATTACATATTCTATTTAATTTGCTCATTTTACTGCATATTTCAAGTGAACGCTTGAAAAATATAACACCAAATCAGTTTATTATTTACAATCTATAAACACTGTAAGAGATATACTACATGTTTCAGTATTTCACCTCTTTCTTCCTCTTCTTCCTGGTCTTTCTGTTCTTATTCTCCTCTTCTCATCCTTTCACTACCCTTTTCATTTATTTGGTTGGCTTTTGTTTTTTCTATAAACATCTGCCAGACTCTCAACGTAGAAAGACGAGATTTATCTAACAGTATTAGATCAAATATGCTACTAACACGTAATTCGTTAAGATTAATTTATCAATAGTTGTTAATCTAAATTTAAAAAAAGTTGATCCTATAGATGGCGGTTGTCTCTTTCCCCTTTACAGCCGTTTGCGTTCTGGTGACTGTTGAAGTGCTGGACAAATCGGTGATTTACGAGAAGACTTTCCTAAAGAAAAGGCATCCTCAAGGGTCAGTTTATCATTATGGGTTTTGTTTTATTCTGGCGTGGTTTGTGTTTATGGCGTATGGTTCGGCTGGAATAATATTCCTGTTAGCCTCTAGAAAAAGGAAGGGAGAAAATGCAAAAGACGAAGAAGAAGCTTTCGAAAATGAACCAGTCAATTTGGGTCGTTTATAAACCAAAAACAAACTCTTTAACAAATTTTTTTCTACATCTGTTCCTCTTTTTTGTATTTCATTGATATTTTTTCAAAATAAAATAATATAAAAACAAACAATTTCTCTTCCCTTCCTTTCTTTCTTTCTTTCTTTCTCTCTAAGACTTTTTATGAGTTTTAACCCTCTTCCTTCTCGGTCCACGCTTTCCGTCGGGTTTGGCGTGCTCTACACGTACTCGTTTGCCGCATAAAACCCTAATTTTAGGTTGAATATATATATAAAAACTATAGACGAAAGTGTTGAAACGGGACCATACTTTCCGTCCAATTTCTGCACCAGCTCCTCAGCGTCTCTCGCTTTTTTATAAACAAGGAAAGCAAATCCGGGAGGGCGTCTGCAAGAATTGAAATTTAATGCCGTATTGTTTTTCTTCTGTCGTTTCTAATTGAATTTCTTCATTGTAACCTATTATCTTTTATAATTGAAAGACACATACTATGTATCAAAGTATTGAAAATCTACTAGACTGCCTACTGCATTATTCTCTATTCACATTTTCTTAAAAGTATACAACAGTTAAGAGCTAACAACTGCAAAATAGTAAGCTTAAGTTTTGTCTGAGTTTCTGTGTTTTTTTGTGTTGATTCTCAGTGAAAGTCTCTAAGTGAACAGTTGTTTTAAAGAGATAAAGAGTCCTTGTTATATATTTGATAGAGATTATTCTATACAGTATACAGCAATATATTGAGCAATATATTGCTTTTTCTTCAATGAATGTATGAGAGAGATAGATAGGAAAAATAGTAAAATATTCAATTTTGAAATAATCCTACTAATTTAATCTCACACCTTATAATCCACATATCGCGAAGATTATCTAAACCTAAAAATTTTAATTCATTATCCAAGTCGAAAATACTAATATCATTGCCAATATCTCCGATAAATACGCGATATCCTCTTCTCAGTTTGTCGTATGTCGCCATGTTTGTTTTAATTAAAATTATCACGATTTCTCCACCCAGCTATGCTATGTGAAATTGAATATACAGCGGATCGTTGCTTCTTTCGAGGAGAGAAATACAAAAAACATACAATCATTAGATTGCGAACATATACATGTATATATAGGCTATTTATATACAGTATACAGTATCTATAATATATAAGGGAATAATTGCTTATTCGTCAAAATCTTCTCTTCATAACCCTCATTAAAACGACATAGATAATGTTAATACAGTATATATATATATATTGTATATTTCTTAAACACACATTTCGCGCATTCCTCATTCCTAGCGTAGATCACTATCAAATTAGCAATTAGATAGCCTGTAAGGATAATAAGTGAAAATTATAATAGCTTCTTCTCTCCTCTCTTCGCCAATTCACCACTTTTACCTTCTGGCAGATGAAGTAAGTCAAATAATACATTTACAATCTCACTCCTAAATACTATATACAGTATATTCTCTTTAATTAATGGCAACACCTCTCTTTCGAATATTTCATAATAAGGGAGGAAGTTCCAAGATAGATGGTATTAACTAAGAGAAGGTTGCCAACAGGTTATGCATAGGCATTAAAAAATAGCCATAAATCTTTGGTTGATTTATAAGGCGAAAAAGAAAAGAAAGAAGAAAACGAGACTTTGCCGACTTTTCCCAGGTTAAAAAAGCTGAAATCAATGATTTTATTGCGTTTTCTTTTCTTTGTTTACATTATCTTTTTAATATAGTTTCCATAAATATGATATATTTGGCATAATACAAGAAACATCTAATAATCAGTACTCAACAACAGTACTCGATGACTTTTAAAATCTTTCATTCCCCTAGACTTCAACTCTTTCTCTTTTGATACATTTTGATGAGGATAGCGGATTTCAAAATATCATTAACCTTGAAATATTATTCTACATGTGGCTACAGCTAAGTGCGTAATTTATATGATGTTAAGAAGAGAGCAGGAGGAAGGCAGGGACGGAGGCAGGGACGGAAGAAGAGAGGGAGAAAGACAGATAGACAGGTAGAGACAGAGACAGAGATAGAGACACAGACACAGACACATACACACTCACACTCACACACATACACGCACAGATAGAAGGAATGAAGGAAAAACATAGGAGAAGGGAGAGACTCCATGAACACATCCTCTTCGCATATTTATCCACATGTTCCACTTTCGTACGGATGCTATATTAGATATAATCTCTTTATACATGATATTCTGTACTATTAGCCGAAATTTCTTTTAACAATCTATAGGTTATTTATTCAACACGTATATTTTATAATAAATGTCTGCTAGGTGTACTTTATTTTTATTCGAAAGAGAGCTATTCTAGCTATTTTTGAGAGTATAACAACAATCAGTTAAAGATAGCAGTATGCTACTTACAGTGATTCAGTTTGATATTTAAGGAAGAGAGGGAAGAAATACCATCGACACTCTGTGGATGGATAACATAATCACAGTACATAAATGTTAGTGTGCAAAAGCATTTTACGTTTGCAGGCGATAGCGGACAGTACTAGGAAAACATATATACTATAGAGTATATTTGCTCATAAGCGTATATTCTCTATAACATAGAGTAGAGATGTACGAGAACACTACGAGCTTAATGGTTTTGCCAATCCGCAATGTTCTGGCGGAGATTTAAATGGAATGATTGAATTTTCAATAAAACTTAATAATCAATTGATAGTTCAACTAGTTCTTCTTTCTACATAAAGAAGTACGAATAATCGGAACGCTTTGTGAAATATGCTTATGTAAATAAATAAAGCTGCTTCGAACGAAAACAAATAAAAGAAAAATAGTTCATCTCTTCTTATCTACAAGCAAGATTTATTGGTAAACGTCAAACGAAATCAAAAAGTTTTCTTATCCAAAAGATGGAGCTAAAGTCTAAGAGAAAAGTAAAGTCTGTCTGTCCGTCTCTCTCTCTCTCTCTGCTTTTTTTCCTTTCTCGTCTAGAAAGCAATATTGTTAATTCTATTTAATATTTCAATAAAAAAATTAGAGAATTCTTCACCTAAAGAATTAAGTAAAAAAATATTCAAACTGTTGATTGACTGATTGATGGAGGGATTATATTTTGAATAGGAAATCATTAGTTTCTGCCTGTTGAATATAACGGAAAAATCAAATTCCGTAAATTAGCTTCTTCTCCTATAATGAAATGATTTGAGTTTATATTTTAATAGTGTATTTGTTATTAGAAGAGAAAATCAAGTAAAACCTAAAAGTCTATAGAATGACATTGAATTAAATTAAATCATTTAGAATGTCGAAGAATTGTACATAACAAGTATATATTAGTATATAGAGTATATATACTGTATACTGAATATATGTTAAAGAATTACCCGCAGCTTAGCCCTTGACCACGTTTCTAAATGTAAAAAGCGTTTAGTGAGAAACGGATTGGTTTTCAAAGGCTTGATAGAGGGAAACCTTTGTCAAGTATCGCTGTTTTTTCCTTCGCTAAATGATTTTGCAATTTATTTTCAGCAGCGAAATAATATTTCTAAACCATTCAGAAAATAAACGAATGAATTAACGAATGAATTAACTACCTAACTATCGAATCTGGACACTAATTTACATAAACTCAATTAATTACATTATTTATTTATTTATTAATTGATCCGAATAATTTAAATGGCTTGCAAATAGATTGGAATGCGACAAAAAGATTTTTAACTCTTTTTTCAATTGGACTGCACATGGGAAATGGGAAAATGAGAAATGGAAATAGCAAAGAAAATTAAAGATATTTGAAAAGTTAATAATCTTTTTGGGAGAGAGAGAGAGGGAGAGAGAGAGACAGAGAGACAGAGAGACAGAGATAGAGATAGAGAGAAGGACGGAGGGAGGGAAAAATATCAAAAGGATTAGCACCAAGGAATTTACCAATGAAAGATGCGAGTTATTATTTAAGAGAATTCTACGAAAAATCGTTGAATAATACTTATATCTTAAATAAGAATCCGATAGAATCGTACAAAAGATCTGTATAAAAGTCAATTTACTTTGGTAGCTATCAAATCAGTTCTTTTATCCAACAACCTCATCTTTACCATATGTTTGTGTAAACAGAAACTCTCCCTATTTAGAGACTAAGCACATACGTTGAAGGAGTAAAAGTAGTCTTAACCAAGCAAATTTCACCCAAATTTAATATCTTTCTCTTTAATAAGTTTGAATAGTAGAATGACATTTGGTTGATTATTTTTAATTTCATACAACCTGGGCTTGAGTGGGAGGTTGACTAGGTAAAGTTTTACATCTCCATCAATCAGCCTAGTAGGCCTTGAGCACATTACCTTGTCACCATTCCTTTTTCTCACTAACAGTATATTATGAAAAAAGTTGCGTCACCCCTAGGAGATTGGCCAATGAGAAGAAGGTGAAGAAGAACAAGAGCAAGGAGACGATGAAAAAAAGACAACAAAGCTTAACTACCATTTACAGTACTGTACTTGATAACTCGATTCGTCACCGCAAAAATTCTCAAGTCACCTTTTTTTTGCAAGATACGTAGAAAGTATGCTATATACAATGTATATATATAGATATATGGTATATAGAGATAAAGTACACTCTCTGGCTAGTCTTCTGACGACTCTACGAATGATGAAAAAATGCAGATAGTGAAGAAAAAATGAAAAACCTCGCATGAAAGAATGCTTTTCATTTTCAAATTTTTTCTTTCTTCCTTTCTTTTCTCCTTCCTTTCTTACTCACTCACTCACTCACTCACTTACTCTCCCTCTCTCACTCCCTCTCTTTCTCTCTCTTCTCTCTCTCTCTGTCGCTCTTTCTCTCCTCTGTTCTTCCTCCCTCCCTTTCTTTATTGTTTGTTTGTAGGGTTTTTTGGACTTTCTACCTTTCAGTTAAATTTCAGTTACAAATTAAATCTGTTAAATTTCTTTAGATGAGGTTTATTATTGAGATAAACTATCTGTAAAGAGGCTGGTGCAATTTCGTATTTTATCTCTTCTCTTTTTGACTGGATAATTTAAAATTAACTTTTAATTTTACGTGTAGATTACAGAATAAGAATAAATTAATAATGTTTTCGTTAATTAATGATAGAGGAGGAGAAGAGTACTTTTATAGCTATTCTCTTACTTTGGATATAATTAAAATGAATAAAGTTCTCCAGGTCTCTTCTTTTAAAAATAAAACCTTTTCAGCATTTTATTATAACGGTATTTATATTTTGCTTACTTGGCTTGTTGGTTGTTTGATTCATTTATCTACCTATTCGATATGAATAAAATGTTTAATAATTTACGGTCAGACCGGCCGCTATAGGTACAACCCTGTATGGATAGGTGTCTTTTACTAATGTGTACGAAAGTTTACCTGGAGAAGGATCCACTAGCACCAGTTAAAAGACTACCAAAGAGACAATATCATTTAATGAGGTAATAAAATATACTAAAATTCCACGTTCTTTTGTATTACAGTCTTGTACTGGATTTGATGGAATATTTTGAACTGAATAAAATGCGATATTTCGATAATGTCACTGCTTGTTCTCGTAATATTCTTCAAGAGTACGCTGCGTAAATCCAAAATAATAATATATTTAATAACTACTAATAATGATTGTCTGCTCTCTCTCTCTCTCTCAGTATGCTTTCCTTTTTCAAAAATACTCTCCGCTAAAAGCTCGGCTTAAGTATTTTAATTTTAAGAAATTTTCAGTTAATACCTATTCCTCTCTTTGATTAAAAGAGAGTCTGAGGAAGAAAGAAAGGATTAGGAAAAAGAAAAAAGTGAAGAAGAAAGAGAATGCGTAAGGCTAAAACTGAAGAAATGAAAATATTCGTTGGAAATGTGGAAGAGTGTAATTTGGCGATAATGAGTTAGAAATCAACGATGCAAGCGTTTTTTTTAAATAAAGATAACCTTAAGGTAAATATCGGATAACTGTTGGCAAGAGAGATAGAAAGAAAGACGGGTAATTGAATTTTTAATTACATTATTAGTAAATGAAAGAGAAAAGCCATTTAAAATTCATTTTCT